TATTCATTTGAGAGAGAGAATGGGAGAGAGAGCACGAGAGGGGGGAGGGTCAGAGGGAGAAGCAGACTCCCTGCTGAGCAGGGAGCCCCATGCGGGACTCGATCCTGGGACCCCAGGATCATGACCTGAGCCGAAGGCAGTCGCTTAACCAACTGAGCCACCCAGGCGCCCGAAAGAATACCATTCTTACAAAAACTTTCCCAGAAAACAGATGAGGAAACACCACCCAGCTAATTTAATGAGGCCAAATAAGAACACCACAGGATAAGATAAATTACAGAATATCATCCATGAACACAGATGTAAAACTCCCTAAGAAAATATTAGCAAAACAAATCCAGCAATATATAAAAGGAGTAGCAGATCATAACCAAGAGAGGTTCGTTGCCGGAATCTAAGCTTAGCTAACATTTGAAAAACAGTCAATATAATTCACCATATTAACAGAATAAAGGGGAAAAGATGATCATCTCAATTAGATGTAGAAACAGTACATGGCAAAATGTTCATATACACTCCCAGCAAAAAAGTAATAGAAGGGGACATTCTCAACTGGAAAAGGGCAGCCACAAAAAAAATCTAAAGTTAAGGGGCACCTGGGTGGCTCAGTCGGTTAAGTGTCTGACTCTTGATCTCAGCTCAGGGTCTTGATCTCGGGGTCGTGACTTCAAGCCCCATGGGGCAAAAGACCAGCACACTTTACCAAGGAAGCTATTGGAATAGCAGATAAACACAAGAGAAACTGCTCAGCATCACTGGTCGGTACGGAAATGCAGATTAGATCCATCTCCGAAGAGATTCCACTAGGCTGGCTAAAATTAAACACACTAAGAACCCAAGTGTGGGTAAGAAGGCAAAACAACCAACACTCTGACACACTGCTGGTGAGAGTAGACAACAGTACAACTACTTGAGAAAAGAGTCGGAAGTTTGTCATAAACGTGTCATCTACGCTATGAACCAGCAAGTCAGAGCCTACGTATTTACCCAAGAGAAACGAAGCCGACGTTCTCACAAAGGCACACAAGAATGTTCCCAGCAGCACTACTACAACAGCAAACACTGCAAACAACCCCAAAGTCCACCAACAGAAGAACAGACTGATTACGGTCTATTCATACAACGAATACTACTCAGCAATCAAACGCCAAACATCACTGATAAGACGCATCATGTGCTCAACCTCACAGACATCATGCTGAGAAAAAAATTGCCAGAAAGAAAATCGTAGGTCCATACGGTTCCATTTATATGAAGTTCTAGAAAAGGTGAGGTTGATCTTCGACGAAAAGAAATCAGAATGGTGGTTGCCTCTCAGGAGGGGAGCAGCAGGGAAACGGTGAGGACAGAATTTTCTGGGCTTGGGGGTGTAAAGCACAGGGTGTTCACATCTGTCAAGACTCAGCTAACTGTACACTTGAGATCTGTGCATTATACTGTCTGTAAATTATACACCAATTTTAAAAGACTGAAAGTTTTTATAAAGGAAGATAAAGCATTTTAGTGAAAGCAGTAGATGAACTGAAAGACTCGACACTGCACAGTGAACGGGCCCCCATCAAAGCACAGCTGCCCACGGAGGACTCACCATCAATCAGTGCACTTGGGACACTGAAAAATCCTTCCAGAAAACCATTAGAGCTTGCCAGGGAAGCTGTATTTTCATCAGACTCCCAGTGATGCTTTCCATCAGAAGGCTGTTGTTACAGACAGAATGCGTGTGTGTCCCCCACCCCCCAATTCCTACACTTAGGTCCTGCCAGTGGGGTGGTGTCTGGGCGTGTGGCCTCTGGGAGGTGATGAGGGGTGAATGACATCATGAAGGTGGGCCCCATGATGGGATTGGTGACCTTAAAAGGAGAGAAAGGGATCTCCACCCCCCCAGCCCCCCAACACACCCAAATCAGCCAGGACCCTGATGTCCGATTCCAGAACCGTGAGACTAAAGGGGTGTTGTCTATGTTACCCGTCTGTAGTGTTCCGTTCTGGTGGCCTGAGCTAAGACAGCTAAGTGTGGTCAAAGAGGCACAAGGAAAGGAAAGGAAAGGGGAGCCGAAGACTTCTCATCTATCCAAAGTGTCTTTCAAGTCTAAGTTCTCAGCTGGGGGTGATACTACCCCAGGGAACATTGGGTAATATCTGGAGATGTGGGCCAAGGCCAGGGCAGCGCCCCCCTGCCCCCACACGTTGATCCTGCAGAGGTGAACAAGCCTGCGTGCAGGTGCAGAC